GGGTCAGCCAAGGTCAGAATTGGTCAAGCCTGGATATTTTCTTTCTGAACTTTGGAGTACAGAGTCCTGGTCTGGAAGCGTTCAGCAGAAGCAGAGGGATTCTGTGATTCACCGTGAGGGGCAGAAATAAAGTGATGTTTCAGGAATGTTATATTCCTTCACCACTTCATTCCCATTTAAAACGAAGGGTAAAATAAAATCTGACCCACGTGTCTGCACTATTTAAAAAAGGTGGCTTGGTAAACAGAGGGCAAGTAAAGCAGGCAAAGAAGCCTGGAAAATATAATTTATCACACAGATTTGCAATGTTTCACATGAATTTAATCATTGCTGGCATGACAGAGAGATTTGATTAGATACTAAATGCAGAGAGAGTTATAGTGCTCATAAGCTAAAAAAATTGGAGCGTTTCAAATTAATTACCTTTTCTCCACCAGACAGCTGTAAAAGGGTTAAGTTAAAGTGGAAGCTATATTGATCAAATCATGTCTACATGTGACAGGGATTGATCTGAGCTGCATCACTAAGCTATGCTGCTGACCAAAATGATTAGAACTGAAAAATGTGGTATACAGCATAAAAATCCAATTTAATGGCTTCTGAGCTTACTTGAGCCTGGCTAATGTTCCATCAAATCAGAGTAGCTGAGGGCTAAACTGGGTTAGGTTCATATCTATTCCATATATCTATTTATATTCTGTACCCAGATACATAGATGCTATTCATATAAAAATATCTCTCCACATACCGCTGAGTGAGAAACACAATAAACTTTAAATAGGTGAAAATTTTTTTTTTTTGTCCAATTTTTACATCATATACATGTGCATGTAATAGAAATAAAGAAGGGATTCTGTATTCAAGGTGAAATAGCGTGGACTAAAAGGTGGGCAAAGGCTGTGGTCCCATCTCAGGCATGTTGCATACCATGGTACTCTCTAGATCACAGTTAATGTTTTGGTGAGGACATCAGACTGCCAGTCCATGGCCATGCTTGTGTGACCTTGGATGTGAGGTTCAGCCTTCTGAGAGCTACTCCAACTGGAACTGGTGACCTTATTATCTAGTTGCTCTTACATTCATATGGCATCTACAACAAAGGTATCTAAAGCTTTGAACTAGTAAACATTATATATTGGGTTAAAGTGCAAATATAAACACAGTTTGTATAGTCAGATTGCTCATATGTTTGGAAAGAAGCAGAAATATGTCTTTATGTCTTTATGACATGGACCTGAGCATCTCACTTTGGCACAAACTACTTTGCCTGATTGTGTTGGGCAGGAGCATGTTATCTCCAGCATTTGCTTTTAAGTTATTATATCAAAGCATCCTAAGGGGAAAAGCAAAGAATCTTTAGTACCTGTATTGTGAAGGGCGTGAGTTTCTTTTTGTTGATTGTTCTCTCGTCAATGGTATCTGGCACTGAAAAGTTGATCATCTTACTGGAAATAAAAGAAAAAACAACAAGAAATACACTACTAGCTATGCGTGCACAAAATACAATATACCTTTTGTCACTACACTGTAGGACAAGTCAAAGAGCTGGACAGTTACTGAACAAATATAGATAGTCAGCCTCTGGTTTTGCATGTACTCACACAGGCACATACGCAATACTCGAGAAATTCTTTTGGGTCACGTGCAGATTGTACTATAGGTGTGAGGCCAAAAATCCCACGAGGTGAAGTTGTGTGAGAAGTTTATTGTGCAGAAAATTTCTGTGAAAAGACTCACTATCTTGTGCTGCTTCATGTGAACCCCAAAAAGTCCCTGGACAAAAATAAAACCAACTAACTCCTCAAATTTCACTGACTTAATCTTATTGCAAGGGTCTGGAGGCAAAGACAAATGCTCATTTAACATGAAAGAAGCTTTATATTTTCAAAGAGGAAAAAAAAAACAAAACCCAAACACAAAACCATAGCATTATTAAGGCCCTGAATCTGCAAAGACTCATAAGCTTAATGTAAAGTCAGCAGCTTCCATGTAAGTAGAGGTGTGAGCTTCTGCAGACTCATGGTTCCTATTTGTGAGAAAAATAGGTATTACTTACCAAAGCACTATGCCATCACCAACAGCCTGGAAGAGGTCATCTGTTTCTGGATTCATTGGGACCACGTGTTTACAGTCAGGATCCTTCTCAAGGGCTTTATTAATCCAGTTGACAAAGGCATACTTTTCTTCCTCTGTGGACACAACATTAAATCCATCAGCTTGTTGTGCAGTATCTCTACCATCGTTTTACTTACAAAGGCAGAACTCCTGGGGGAGAAGACTCTCTCATCAGTGTGACTGATCAATGAACCCCCTACAAGGGAAGAAGGCTCTGAGGAGACAGGCAAATGATCTGAAGACAGAAATGGGCTTGAGATGGTTAATATTCCTTCCATACTCCTTCCCACTGACTGGGGTTGCCCAGTGTCACGAGGGCAGACCTATTATAGAAATTGGTAATGAAGTTCATGTGATTCAACTGTATGCTGCAGTTGCTATGCTCTGCTAAGCATAATTTGTACTTGCACTGTAATTTGAATGCATTATTGTATCACTCTATTAAATTGAAATCCCACATAACTTCAAATAAGTTCAAATAAGTGAAGTCTTTACTGTACATTACACCTTCCATGTGTGGAATATCTAGAAGAGCGTGGCCAGGGTGTATTGAACTCCTACAAGGAGCATTCAGAGGGTAATGGGCAAATGTTCCCTGTAGTCCAAGAGGGCTGTAATGTAGCTACCCTGTACCAGCAGCAGCTCACACCACCCCCAGAAGCTCAGAGAAGGTGTCCTCTGTGCTCAGGTGGGTGGAGACCTTGGAAGCATCCTTTGCTCTCCGTTCTCCAGAGTTCCCTGTCCCTGAAGAAGACAGCCAAAGGTGGGACCTCCTCCCTGCAGAGCTGCTTCAGAGTGGTCTGTGCCCAGGAAGCAGCAGAAGCAATCATGACTGCCCCAAACCTTCAGCTTGGAGAAACAGACTGGGAGAAGACTCCTGATGGGGTCATGCCCTCTTTAGAAATAGGTCAGGAACCATTTGGTTACAGGTGAGTTTACAGAGAAACTACCAAAGAACTGGTAAAATGTACAAGGAAATAGGTTAGCAATAGCGGGGAACCCATGCCTTGCCTCGCCGGTAAGTGGGGACAGCAATGGGCCAGACCTTGTGCTGCTGCAGCTGTGCCAGGAGGCTGTTCTCCAGCAGAGCTGCAATGCCTTTATGGTAAGGGAAGCTAAGACGCTGGAGCTTCCTTCCACAGCCACAGCTCTGCCCACCCTAGTAAACTGGCTCACACTATTTTTGACAAAGACCCTGCTCTGGTGCTTTGTCACCTTCACAGCTCTTTGCCTTGCACCAGCCTCGCCTGAACAGCCGCCGAAGCTCACCGAGGCCAGAGCACCTGGGTTTGCACCAAGATAAAGTGCAGGTGATCTCCAAGGGCACACTTGTCCCTTGTTGCTGTCAGTATAGGACAGCTGTACCTACCTGAGTAAGAGTGTTGTGTGCCAGCACTGGACTGCTCAGATGTCCCACCGATAGCGCAGATCCCCTCCTTTTTGTTGATTTGTTTTCGGAACGACTTAGCAACGTCATCGCTCTTCAGGTTTTGGAAAATCTTTCAAGCACAAGAGGCAATTTTAAAATTTTGGCAAATTAAACCAAGATAAAACAGGGAGCTTTTGGGCCAGGAGACACCTCCTCTATGCTTCATACATAGGCAAGGACAGCTTGTGTGGTATTCAGTGAGTTTCTGTATAAAATCTGTGTAGCTACTGTGGTGGAACAGGATCATACGCAGCTTTTAAGTTGTCAAAGCAGTGAACAAAGGTCATCTAAGTCACAGAAACATACGTTATGAAACCACGGAGCTAAGACGTGCAGGAGGAGGGCCTTTAACAATTTCAGTTTGAAGAAAGGAGAAGTAAAAATCTGTTTCTCCATCCCAAGGGAAACTCCACTATTTTAGCATTTGCTTTTGTCCCAGTTCAGACCAGAAAAAGAAACAGCTTTTTAATAGAAAAATATGCCCCATAAAGTTTTCAGTTTCAACCTGCTAAAATTTTTTGTAAGCATCTAGCTAGAACATAATATTTTTGCAACTTATAGCTGGAAAACTTCATCCTGCTGCATTAACCGAACAGAAAGATATTGTCTGTTCAATACACAGCTGCATTCATGTAACTTGTCTCAGTTAATTGCAGGAATTCTAGTTTGGTTACCTCCTGCACTCATTTTTTCCAGGGAGAGGACTCCTTGGATTAACTAGGTGCCCACGAGACCTTGTGCTTGTGCCTCTGCTGTGCCCTGGGGACCACCTTGAGTATCCCACCTGGCATCTTACTGACTAAATAAATAACATCTTACTTACTGAAATAAATTCATTAAAACTTATCCTGCCATCCCCCGTGGTTGTCAAATTCTGAATAAGTTCTCTGGCTTTATATCCTGGGAGAGGGAGATTGGCTGCCTTCAACACATCTGTTAAATCATTGGCGTGGATAAAGCCGTTCCCACTGATATCTGCAAAGATTAAAGCAAATATTTAGATTCTACATCAGCCTAATGAAATTTCATGCACACAAAGACTGTTGTTTTTATTTTACCTGGGGAAATGTACTTTATATATAAAGATTTGTTATCCTGAAATCCAGTATTTTCAACCCTGCAGTGTCATTCACACCCAAGAAAAAATTACAATCACCATTTAACAAAAACTCACAGTGATGAATTTATGTTTTAGACGTATAGTAATATCTTAACAAAGCTATGTTTAGATGGATATAATTGACTTTCCAAGGTTTATATAGAGACAAACATGTAAGAAGTGATTTATTGAGGGGCTATCCTGTCTACAGAACAGCTAAAGAAAATGGATATTGATGCAATACAGAGTTATACCCTACATATGCATATAGACAGAGATATAACTTGTGATTTTGGCCTCTTTTCTGCATCTAATATCATCAGAAGTCATGAGTTTTTAGAGGCTTAAAATAAAAACTTGGGTGTTTCTCTGTGATGGTGCTAACACGGATAGCCCTGCTGAGCCTGTTACAAGAGCCAGGGCCAGATTTTATCAGAAGATCACTAGTTTCTGTTAAAACACTATGTTTATGTATATAGTTTTATATATATATATATATAGTTACATATGGTTGTATATTTAGTTTTGTTTTTTATATAGCTATGTGCTTCTTGTTCTGAAGGCTTTTTTTCCCGAGCCTAGAGCCAAGGTGATTTCATGAAGCATGTGCCGATTTCCTGCGTGGTAAGTTGCAACATGAGTCACTTGTTGCGTGCAGCAAAAAGGCACTCAGCTCTCAGCACCTGTAGCACAGGGTAATACAGATGCAAAGAGCATCCTATCTATTTTTGAAGTCATACAACAAAAGGATCTGGACTTGGAGAGGGAAATGTCTGGGTGATGAATGAGCGCTTCTCTCCAGCATTTGCTTTGTCATTACATCGGGTGTACTGGGCACACACAGTGACCAGATGTTTAAGATTGCCAGCCTGGACTACTGTGTGCTCAGAAATCCAACAATCATCACCTGAAGCAATAAGGACAACTGATTAACACATAATCCAGCAAGGCTGACAGATCTGCAAACAAAAGTTAAGTGAGCAGTGAGAAACACAAGGACTTTTTTCTTAGAATTTGGGCAGACAGTGATGGATCTGCATGACTTTAAAGGAGGCAAATCAGATGAGACCTTTAAAGGCTTGGAAAGGAAACACACACTTTAAAAATATAGAGAGCTTGAAAGGCGATAGTAAAGGGATTACAAATTTTGTAGCAATTTCCACATCTGTCGTCTCCAGACTCTTCTTCCCCAGAGGGAGTACTCAGTTTACATTAAAATTAAAACTTCTTGCCTTCCAAATAATTTGCCAGGAATATACAATATTCTTAGGAAAACACTTGAGAGTATTTCCAACATGGTTTTCTGTACAGCTTTTGAGGTTATTTCATAAACCCTGCTACTCATTGCCCTGCCATCTGTCTCCGGTAAGAGGCCATTGCTCTGCAGCGTGCTATGTGGTTTCATCTAGGAGCTGTGCAGTGGCAGGAAAAAGACTTTGTGGTTTCTGTGACACAGCAGATCAGCGCTGGTCAGTACATGAGAAAGGAGCCTGCCACAGCTTCACACTTCTGCAGCATCTTTCCTGTTCGCTGTACTCACCGACTTTGCTGAAAGCCTCTCGTAGCTCTGCCATTTCCTCCTCCGAGAAGTGTGCTGTCGATGCCATTTCTTATTTCTCCGAGTGGCGGGTCTGTAAGAAGAAAGCACTTGTTTTTATTTGGTGCCTTTTTGGGTTTGTAATCATGATGAAGAAGAGGGTGTTTCACTTGGATTTTCAAAGTCTCAGAGCAGTTCCCCATAGCTGAAAACCTAGTTCCTCTCTGCATCCCCAAATCAAGTGAAGGGGTAAAATCCTGCGTACATAAGATACAAATCCATGTCCCTCCTGTTGTTTTGTCAGGCCCTGCTCAAAATCCCAACAGTTTTATTTATGCTAATTTAATTGAAATCAAATCCTACCTCTGCTAACTTTTGTTTCTCATGGAGAAAGCGGACAAAATTGTGCTAGTTCTCGTTATTCCTCTTTTGGAAATACAATTCACCACCTGCTTCTTCAGCAGTGCTGGCAGAGAAGCCGCAGCCATGTCTGCTCCTGCGGCTCAGGGTTGGAGCCGGAGCCCCGGGGGATATTTGCACCACCTACCTTTGGGTACCTAATGAGGAGGCTGGTCACCCTTATGGGATGGATGGATGGATGGATGGATGGATGGATGGATGGATGGATGGAGAGAAGCTCCTTCACAAGGTGTTAAAAGCACCAAGTTGGGCTCCCCAGAGGGCTACTTCTCTTCCTGACAATGGGGAGAGTTTAGGAACTTGCCCCGCAAGGTACCTAAGCTAGTGCCTGAGGTTGGGTGGCACTTTAGGAATGGGTGGCTGGAAGGAGTTTTCCTGCCTTTCCTCTCATCAAAGATATAAAGCAGGAGAAAGGATTGATTAGACTGTCCCTTTCTAGGCACCTTTCTTAATAATCAGAAAGGGAAAGTTTACTTCCGTTTGTCTCATCATTTAATACACTGCCAGAAGATGCACATTATTCCCCTCTGCTTTTTCATGCACCTACTGTCCCTTGCATCTATTCATGAGGAAACTGGTCAGGAGAAAGACTATCTATTATTCTGTATTTGTGAGAATTACTCTAGTGTCCTATATCTCTTTAAGTATTAATTAACCAAGCAACTATTTAAATAGAATAGAATGGAAACCTGAGTTGATTCTGGAAAGTGGTTGCTGTAGCTACTGTGTTCAAATAAGGAAAAAAAAAAATGCAGAAATACATTATTCCCAGACTAAAACCAACACTGCATCCTTCAGGCTAGGATTCCAAACTTTATAGAAAGATATACAGGGACAATTTTAAAAAGTACAAATTTGCTATAGCCCTCTGCAAAGACATACAGTTGTATACAGCCTATATGGGCTTCAGATTTAATGCTCTCCTGAACTCATGCATTGATTCCTTCTGTCTGTGAGAACCACTATGGACATGGCTTTGAAACAGCCCAAAGGCAATCTCACGTGGTTGGCTTTTTGTCTGCTGTCTCCCTGTACGATCACACACCCTTTATCTTCCTCATCACTGTGATTTTAGGGTGAGGACAGCTTCCAGAGAAAAATTTGTTCAATCACTCCAACCTTCATAAGTAGAGAAACGTAGCATAATCCATAATGTAATTGCTCTTAGGGCACAAGAACCCATGTGCAGTTTTCAGCACAACAGAGCTGGTGATTGCTACTGAAATATTAATATACTGTTAAAAGTGGCTCTAACCAGCATACTTTCAAGGATTACCTGCAAAAATCTCTGTGATCCACTAGCAACGTGGGTTATGTAGACTACAGTAAAATTAGATCCATAGTCTTCCTCCTTCATCCTGGTATCTTCCTGCCCCTGATTCCTCACTACCAATCTTTTTCTGTTGCATGCTGTATGTTTTTGCAACATGTGGCTTACCAAAAATGCACCTGGGCACATGAAAATCTTACACTACCACAAGAAAATCCATATTCCACTGCAAGATCATCCCTTCCAGTCCAGTCACTTGATCAAGCAATATAATTTGCAACACAACTTTTAATAGCATTAAGACTGTTCTAGAGCTTAACAAATAAGAAACATCACAGGTTGTTGCCTATAACACTACTTTTGCAAAGTGTTTTATAACCTTGAAAAAAATTATCACCAACACAAAACAGACTTTTCTTGATTGCAAAAGAAGTTGTGGCCTCTGATCAGTAACTAACTGATCTGTTAAATACAGACAATCCATTAATAGTACATATGTGTACATGCACAGGCATTTATAGTAATAATACGTAATAGGATGAAGAGCTTTGCTGTAATGAACCCTTATGACATCTTTTTTATTAGAAATATTATCCACTCTGTTGTAAAGGTGGCTACGCTTAGCAGAGAAGTCAGATGAATCTCTGAACCCAGTGCGAGAACTGGTTCTCGATCACCCGAGTAGTAGTTGTACTCGGGTGACGGAGGTATCGTCACTGCCCGCTCCAACACATAACTGAGTTTCTTCTGCATTTTCATCCCCTTAGTATCTCTTTATTTCAGCCTGTCAGCTCCAGCATCTAAGATCACCTGGTCTCACCGACTAAAACCCCACTGTCTGTTTGCACAGGGATGAGATTTGGACAGGCACCCTCTGTCCGGCAGCCCCACGCTGCCAGCTGCACAGCTGCTTTGGCAGGTCAAGTGCATCGTAACCCATCATCTCTCTGGGGGTTTGACAGTGGTGCCTATCGCAGTACATCTGCCATGTAAAATCCATACCAGCAAGAAAATCCCTTTACACCCACCACCTCTACACAGTTTCAGGGTTACCTCTAGTCCCGGTTTTGGCAAGGGACTGCAATAAAGGCAGGGAAAAGAGTTGAAAGTCTTCGCTTCTAGGTCTTCTAGGCTCATCTGCAGCCAAAAGACCTCTGTGAAGTGCGTGGAAGCCTTCAAATTTACACTCAATTAATCAAAATCAGAATTTTCAGATTAAAGGTTTCAGAGTTATTCACAATTAAAAATTGCTGTCATTTTTTAAATTGAGTAGTAAAAAAAAAAACATAGGGAAAACAAGAGTAAAAGTCCAAAGCTTTAGCAACGCACAGCAAAAAGGAGCAAATCCACTTTCAAAAAGCTACTTTTCAGTATATAAACTGCTTATTTGGCTTAGATCATTAAAAGTAAATGATGATATTTAAGGACACAGAAATTTAAAATGCTTCTGGATAATTCCTTCTGATTTTATCACCAAGACCAGAGTCATTTGCTTCCAGGGATCAAACACTTCCAGCACTTCACCGTCCTCAATGCAAAATGAAAACACCTTGGGCATCCCATCAAGAGGGCATCCAACAACCCTGGGTGAATAGTCCGATTACTGGTAATCTACAAGGTATTGTAAGCATACGGTGCACTGCTCTGCTCCAAACCATTTGCAAAATCGGTATGACAAGACAGATGCAGATAAAAAACTGCAGAGGATGAAACAACAGCAAAGGACAATATGTGGAGACGACGGGCAATATGAACAAGTTGAAACAGCTTCTTTGAAGGGAATAGCTGATGAGGAGCTGAGGGAGGAGCACAGGGAAAATCAGCTGATGAGAACCAGGTGATGGCTTTGAGCACAGAGATGTACGGCAAGAAGCAAAGAGAAAAGCTGGGCAGGGGTAGGCATGACAAGAGGAAGGGGAGTTTGAGAAGGAATGAATTCAAACAGCTTAGCAGTCAGCACAAATGAGATTTCGAAGGTCAGCAGCAGCTGAGAGGAAGGATCTTGAACCTGGCATGATTGAAGATCAGTAAAAGAACTGAAGTTCCTTAGAGAGAACAAGATGAACGTCAGAACATCAGCATGGATGTGGAGGCAGGACACCAAGGAGGGGAAGACAGCTACACAGGTCAGAGCAAGAAAGACAGTGGAACTGCCAACAAGAAAGAAATGGAAAGTAATAAAAATTCAGAAGCCAAATAAAACACACCTTGAGACAGACTGAGCCTCAGATGGCATCAGGACATCTGAATTACACATTGCCTGGAAGTGACACTTTGTCTTGTTTGCCAAACAGCATAAACCCGCTATTGCAAAAGCAAAAAAAGTTGTGCAAACACACTCTTCCTCCCCAGAAGACTGTTGAGTTACAGGTTAATGTAAAAAGGGGAAAATGGTCTCACTAAAGCTGCTGAGAATCGTAACAAAACTGATATTAAAAGAGCTTCTATGGAGCACTCCATTTCCTACCATCGTTTCCAAACCAATACATTACAGCCGTACCGTAAAGCCTCCTTTTGTTTGACCTTATCCTCAGAAGGACTTACTATCACACTGATGTTTTATGAGTTCTAATAACTATTTTCAGCCTGGAATATAAAGGAAGAACTAAAATAATCTAAAAACCTGAACCTTACTGCTAAATTGAAACACAGTGATATTGATGCTCTTTCATCTCTTTTGATTTTGAAGCCATAGTCTGAGAAGCTGCCTGGTTATGTATTACTTGGCAAAGCGTGCACTCACCTTGCAATATAAATAATAAATGGCAAAGCCATTAAAACCTAAAGATTTCCAAAACTTGTATTAAATGGTTACCTTGTTTCATATTTTCCTCCACTTCTCTGGTATTTAAGCTTTATTGCAAGCAAGGCGATGAAAACCTTGAAGATGTGAAACTGCACTTTACATCTAGATATAAAGTTGTACCTTTCCTCAAAGCAAGAAAGCAAATTTCATGGGGCAACATTATATTTCACAAACACATATTTAAGTCATCAGGAACGACTTAGCTGTGAATTTGGTGCCAAGAAAGTTGAATATATTACTAACGTTTACTCACTTTCTACCATCAGGGCTGTGTTTTGTTAGCACACTAATACTTTGTTAACAATACGATAACCCCTCTAGCTGTTGGAGAGTGAAGAGATAAAGGATTTTACGTGTGTTCCCTGTCATATATAAATTGCCCTACTTCTGCTATCTTCTCTTCAAACTTGTTTATTTTTTCTGAAAGTGATGAAATAAGAGGCACTCGATGTTGCAAAACACAGCTGTTAGAGTTGCACGGGGCAGCGTAAGACTGCGTCCCCCTCTGCACACAAAACTCTGCCTTCTACTTTATCAGAGATCACAGCTCCAGTTCCTTTTCTTTTCTCTTTTTTTGTCTCATCCACAAATTCAATTTCC